CGGAACCCATAATTATAATGTAATAGATAATTTTGTAATATAACCGGTATAAATATACCGGTTTTATGAGCGAATAGGTCTTACAACCTATATCGACACGTTTTAATATTGTGTCGGTAATTTTAAGTAACGCGGTTTTTCTTCCTTCATTCAAAATATTTATATGTACATACAATAGGAGTCATGTTGATACTTACGATATATGGAGATCGTTGTCATTCCATTTCGTCTTCGAAAAAATCAGTTGATGTAGGCTGTGTGCTTGTACTCAAACTGAGCTTGACTTGAGGACATGTTAGTTTGTTATGTCCCTCACCGTTGCAGTACCCACATCGCCTAATTTTCTTCTCGACCTTGTTCTTCGGCACTTCTTTTCGCTTGCGTTGTTTTCGTTGAGGGTCACGAACATTGTTTACTACAATGCTCTGGTTGATTGAATCATTCAAACCAAACGAGTTTTCTAATTCTTTTATTAGTTTTTTTCATCTCATCTCTTGCGGTTTTGAAAGACTCGTCTGTCTTTGATGCAATGTAGCATAACCTACTTGACGTTGAACGAAGAGCAGCGAACCTTGCCATTTGCATCACTTCTGGAGACACATTCAAATCAACATAGCTGGGTGCAGAAGCCTTCGTATCATTAGTCCACCTACTTTGAATCAAAGTCCCGGGCAAATATGTGTATCAATTGCTTCAAAATGTGAAGTTGATGGCGACAGAAGTCCAACGGTCTCGAATTTTTGCAGGAGCAAATTAGAGTTTTCGTACGAGAATCAAAACTAATTTCAAATTTCCTATTTTTTTCTACGTACTTTGACAAATATAATGTTGACATTCTGATAAGGACTTAATCTCTGCCTCAATCCGGTACAATGTCTCCCGTATAAGTTCATCTTGGAACACACGAAAAGATTCGCGGGTAAAAATCGCAGCGGCATGGCTTTCAAGGTCGACCAGTTTTGTGATCTGGAAGGGCTTCGTATGGGAACTTAAGTAATCCGCTTTCAACTCGTTCATACGCTAAATATGTTGAGTGAATATGTCTTCTTGTGTTTCAGTGCAATAGCTAGTGAAGCATTCATAGACTCGCACCTTTGTGTTGAGCGAATATTGGCAAAGAAATGACCGGTTAGATATGTTTGTGCCCATAAGTGTCGTGTATTTCCCTTCTCAATCACCCATGGATGCTTTTGGACGTTGAATTTTGAAACAACCGAACGCCATTGAATATCAAATTCCTTGGTTGTCCACCAGGAAGCCATGCATTTTGAGAATGCTGCTGTAAACTTTGGGTCACCAATGTTAGCTTGTGCATTGCGAGAAAGATGCCAAGAACATAATATGTGCTTAGCATAAGGGATAACAGATTTGATAGCCCTCTGCATTGCCCTATCCCCATCGGTTACAACGGAAATAGGTGATTTATTCATCATGGCTTCTAAAAAATTCTGTAGCACCCACTCGAAAGATTGAGACGTCTCGTCAGCGATTATGGCAGTGGCAAACACAATTGTGTTATGGTGATGATTGACACCAACAATAGGCATAATTGGTCGACCATACAAATTATCTTTGTACGTTGTGTCGAACGCAATTACATCACCGAAGCATGTGTAATCCGATCTCGATGTAGAATCCGACCAAATAAGATTATACAATGCCTCCGATTCGTCTACCGAGTATGTCATAAAAAACACGGGATCATCATGTTTCTTATAATCAAAGTAGGCAATAAGCGCATTCACATCCCCATCGACGATTTCCTTTGCTTTACCTCTTTGAAGTGCATTGTAGAGGTCTTTATGTGTAAATCCAACATTATGATAGCCCCCTGCCTGCTGCGTTAAATAGTTCATTACTTGTGACGTGCCAACACCGACCTCTTTCAATGTTGTTGCCTCATCGATATCAGCCTTACTTACAGCTCTATTAGAACGCATAAATGGTGTCATAGCAGGTGTGCACAATGCATGATTATGTTTCTGATCAGACTTACTTATAACCCACTGATCGTTTGTATTTGTTGCTGTAACTACGACTCTAGCCTTACATCCTGTTCTTGTGACTGGCGTATGAGCACGTTGACGATCAACAATATTGACTTTTGATACTCGAAACCCTTCTTTGGAACAACAAAAAACTTGTGTCTTCACATTCTCTTCCACGTCAAGCCGTGTTGTTCCCTTACGTGCACTAAACCCATGTTCCCGTACGAATCCCTTGTAAAAGTACCAAGCTTGATCACGTGAACAGAAGAGCTGACCAACCAATCTGTCAGATTCATCAACATTATGTACTTGATGGCATTCCTCGGTTGGCTTAACATTGTCTATATCAGTATTATCCATGACAAAAATTTTGTTGTGCAAGTTCAGTGGTCCAGGAGTTGATGGAGATATAAGCAAAGGTTCATTTTGAACACGTTTCAGTCGTGCTGCTTTCAATAGGATGTGGTAGTGGTAGTTAAAGGGTGGGTACAACATTAAATTCGCAGTACATATTTAGGTATGTACAATAACTACAAGTATATTATCATTAAATTTATGTATGTACAATAACTACATATTTAGGTATGTACATCTTTTGAGTGAGTTTTAAGATATTAATTTAGTAATTATAGGCGTCTAATGATTTATTTTTTACGTTACGGTATATATTATTATTAAATTAAAAACAATAAACATATATTACATATTTATTATTATCTTTGGTTAATATTGTTAAATTTAAATACTAAATAATATTTTATAAAATATCAAAACAATCAAATAATTTTTTGTGCAAATGAAATTATTAAATTAATATTGTAGGTGGAAAACATGAAACACTATTAAAAAATTGAAACATAAATTACATAACTTTAAAAAAAGTATCGATCTTTTTTATAAAAAAGTATAGACACTTTCAGCATATTATAATGTAATAGGTAAATTTGTAATGCTATCGGTATAAATATATCGGTTTACTTATAAAATATGTCAATATAAGCGCTACCTATTACATTATATAAGCGCTACCTAGTATGTTATTGTACTTTATAATATTTCCGGTTAAATAATATACCATAATCGGTCTAAATTTTAACCGATCACTTATTTAACCGGTCACACCGTATATTAACCGTTTTTTAGACGCCGCACCGCAAAACCACCCCAATTCCCTATGGTTCTGTGCTTGGAAAATTAGTCATAACCACCATGGATTCTCGAAACAACAATTCTATCAAATTTTCTTAGACTTGATTTAAAACGTAAAAAAAATATAGAAATTTACATTAAAATTTTTAAAAACTTTGAAGCAATCTTATCTATCATCACATCATGTACCATCAGGCTAGAAATCTGAACCCTTGAATCTGTCTTCTACCTTTGCACACTCTCTTTCAGATTAAACTACTACATATGTCAGAGTAGGTCTATCAATGCTTGAATGGGAGCCATAAATGATGAAAGATATGGACCATTAGGACAAGAACAAGATTAAATCATAATTTTTTTTTCCTGAAAATTAAAGGGATCTCGTTAAAAGTTCCTCATATCTCAATCGAGCCAATGTTATTTCAAGAAAGCGGAAAGGGAAAAGAGTGTCCATATCTTTATTAAGAACCCGACAAAACATATTAAAACATAATATGACCCACACCAATGACCAGCCTCCTGCTCACAATGTAACCTTGCCAAATTCCACCTAAGAGCAAAAACTATTGGGTGAGCAGAGATTAGAGAACCATATATGATAGTAAGAGAGTAGCACGATCCAACACCTAGGCCATCTGATCAACGGAAAACACAATCCAAGGTCCTGCACTATAACCCAAAGTAACACATCATTTGGAGCTTAGAACCTACCTATAAACACATCGACTGACCCAAGACCTAAACCTCGAGAGTCTTAAGGATCAAACGACCACAGTACAATGGAGATCCGCACGCATTCAAAGCCAACAGAACAAAAGAGCCTCAAGCACAAGAATAAGGAAAGATCCACACGCAGAACCACCCTACCAGCAAAGGGAACTAATCAACTTTGCGACCACCACACTCTCAGGCACATAAGTTACCCACTATACCAATCTGTGCCCAATCAACACTCTTTCGAAGGTCAGCCACTCATGACTACACCTGACTAGCGCATAGTCGTTATACTAGTCGGGACTCAACTATCCAAGGAGGCAAGACAATCAGAGTGTTTAGCTTTAAACCACCAAGCCAGTCGGGACTTAACAATGAATAACAGCTGAGAAACATCCAGAATTTTATTATTAAAAACGACCTCATTCCTCGTGAGCCAAATAGACCAAATAGTGGCAAAGGGGATGAGAAGCCAAGTTGGTTCAGGCCTTCATGAACATAGAACAGCCTGCCATGTAATGAAAAAAGCAATAGGACCTTGTGGAAAAACCAGATTAAGTCCCCAATAAGCAGCCGAATAAGTCCATATACACCATGTAAAATGACACGAGAAGAATAAATGATTAACCGTTTCTGGATGAACTTTGCATAGTGAGCATAAAATGTCATTGTTTAATGAAACTTCCTGCTTCATTACACGACCATGCAGAATTAACCAAATGAATGCTTCAACTTCTGCCCAATCCATACCACTTTATCCCAATTAAACTTAGAAACAATATTTTGGAGATGAGCTTGTTAAAAGTTTTGGTCGAGTAGCAGCCATCACTCGAACCCTTCCACTTAACCCAATCTAAATCCAAATTTGTAGCTCTAAAACCTGATATGTAGTTGCTGTTGAGTTGGAACATAGCTTAATTTGATAGTTCCATTATTGACTTTTTCTAAAGTAAAGTGCGTTTCGATTTTCACGTACTTGATTCTATTATGATAAACATGATTCAATCTGAGCCTCAATCTTGTTCATCCTATTTTAACCATCAAAGTTGTGATAGTTCTCCAGCAACAAATTACTATCCAAAATTAACAAGATTCAAAATCTAGCTCCAAAATACCAATTTATACGTGTAACAATTATTAGTGTGATGATTATTTCAGAGTAGAATTGTACATCGGTTTACAATCACCTAGCTCACACCGCATCACATGAACAACCGCACTATGGTTTAAAGTACAACCTCCAAAGACAGACATTGAAGAAATTAACAGCTCCTCTCTCAAGCTAGAAATGGCAAGAAAGCGATCAAAGAACCACAAACCACACTGTTCGACTCTGACCGAGTTCTTTCTACACCCGCAATTGTTTCAGCAATCAGCAAGTGCAATAAGCTGATCAACTACACCAGGTTCGGCTAACGTGCTAGTGTCTCCAAGTTCATCTAACTGTCTGGATGCAATTTTCCTCAGAATCCTCCTCATTATCTTTCCACTTCTCGTTTTTGGGAGGCCAGGTGCCCAGTGTATTTTGTCAGGTGCTGCAAATGCTCCTATCTGTGTCACAAATGGATAATCTTTAGACTACTAGATTATAAAATTCAGACCAAAGATAATGCAGGTGTCAATTTCCTCGTCATGATTCTCGAGAAATGGTTTTAAAGTTCAAACCTGATTTCGCACTGCGAGTATAAGGCTCTTCCGAAGCTCTTCACTGTAAGAAACACCTTCCACAATAGTAACAAAAGCATATATGCCCTGTCCTTTAACCTACCAGCAACAAAAAAAAAAAAAAAAAAAAGATAGCTATGACTTACAAAGCATATGTCTTGGCTTATTGGTATGTTAATCTTAAACAGATACACCAGACCACTTGAATACCTCATGCTCAACACCAACTACAGCAGCTTCTGCACACTGAGGATGAGAGACTAGAGCAGATTCCACCTCAGCTGTGCCAATACGATGTCCACTGCAAATATTAAGATTGCATCATTCACAGGCAATAGGAAAGAGAAGGTCTGTTTAGTTAATTGCTAAGGAACGCGAAGACATTCAACAAGCTGGCTGTTTTCCAGATAACAGCAGAACTTCGTATACCTAACATTGATAACATCATCAACTCTTCCGGTAAGCCAGTGGTACCCATCCTTGTCCCTGAAACAAATAAGACAGTAACTCAATGCTAGTCCCTGGGTTAGAATTCCGTCAGTGGCTAAACATATAGAGATGCATATTAAAATCCAATATTCTGCACAAAGAAAAATCCAGACCAGTAAAAAGGCAATTCAGTGTTAGGACCATCATACCTGCTGCAGCCATCACCAGTAAAATAATATCCAGGGAATGGTCTAAAGTATGTTGTCTCATATCTCTCATGGTCACCATAAAGAGTTCGAAATGCACCAGGCCATGAGCCTTTCACACACAGATAACCGGTACACTCACCATCAATCTCATTTCCTTTTTCATCCACTATGACAGGCTGCAGTTGTACCAGTAGAAAATATAAATGAAAATTTTAGAAGAAAAGGCACTAATTTTCAGTAACAGTTACACTAAACCTGAACTCCAAAAAAGGGAAAGGTAGCAGAACCAGGCTTTTGTGGCCAGGCACCCGGAAGAGGAGTGATCTGCCAGTTAAGATATGGAAAACAATAAAAAGGTTGAAATATGCACATAAATAAGAATAAAATCAACCAAGTTATCAGCCAAAAAATAATCAAAAGTTGAAATATGCACATAGCCCCATATAGCATAGGTAAATCCACCAAGATATTTAAGGAAAAAATGTTTTACAGAGTATCTTCCAGGAAATGCTACCAAAATACTTAACATAAAGGAAAAACTTACCATAAAGCCACCTGTTTCAGTTTGCCACCAAGTGTCAGAAATAGGGCACCTAGATCCTCCAACTAAATTAAAAAACCACCTACAAAAACCAGGATCATTTTAGGTTACACAATTCCTTTTTACATATGCATACGAGATAAAAAATAAGTAAAAAAAAAAACTTATTGAATCAAAAGGAGTTATCTAAAGCTGCAAACCTCCAAGCACTTGGATTAATAGGCTCACCAACACTTCCAAGGACACGCAAGGACTTCCGTGAGTAGCGTGTAACATACTACAAACACAATAACAGTAATATCGATAAAAAATCTGGAAATACATCAAGGGGAACTCAATGGATTCTCTCGAAAACATAATAACCAAAGCAAAACAGTTCTTTGCGTGCCAAAATATAGTTTCATATATCATGCAAGTAAACTGTCATGCCAGAATTAAACAAAATACTTGGATTCTTGCAAAATTTAATGGAGTTTCTCTAATTTTAGTTGACAGAATTGGAAGATAAAACAAACACAAAAGTAAAATGGAGCTATGGAAATTATAAATCTGGATGTCAAATACCAACATAAATAAGCTAACAAGGAGCTGTTTTTATTTACAACAATACTGATGAACATTTTGAATCAAATATTTGTAGTGTGTAAACAAGGTTAGAGATATATATCTTGCCTCATCACCCTCACGCATGAGAGAGCGCACCAATGTGGGTGCAGTGTAGAATATGGTCACCTTGTATTTGTCAACAATGTCCCAACATCTTCCAGAATCAGGATAATTTGGGGCCTGTATAGAACATGCAGAAACATTGCTATCCATGGCAACATCTATAAAATATTGAAATCAAAATATTGGGTTTAAGACATAAATATTCTTGCACTCACTAATGGCTGCTATCTCCAACACTCAAATTTTAATATTTTCTATGCTGGTATGCTGCAATATATTAGTTTATTCCAGTTACAAATTTCACACTCATTTCTAAAATTAACAACAAATTATTGATGCAAACAATAAATTATAAATATTCTTTTATTAAGTTTCCACCATTTTATTTTTATTTTTATAAAAATTCTTAAAATAGTCATTATTTTATTCTACACGTTTTTATTACCTAGTTGCTCATCGATGAACTTCCAGAAACACCAAAAGACATGTCAAACCTTCTATACACCACAATCTTTCATCCAACATTTTCTAACGTTGGATTAAACGTTTTTCTCCTCAGTCCTCAATGATAATCTTAGGGAATCAATAGTTACATTACAAACATTTTTCAGCATAAGATATATTTAGAGCTGAATTAGTAGTCAATCTTGAAAGCCTAATCTATTTTTCTATGTCAATAGTGACAGAGAAATCTTACTCCCTCATATACAACAACTGTTGCTCCATTAAGCATGGGTCCATAGGTTACGTAACTATGCCCAGTAATCCAACCACAATCAGCTGTGCACCTAAAGTAAAAGATATGTCAAGTAAGACCCAACATCAAGAGGTTACTAAACAAAAAAATATATATATAAATTCCACAAAACATCAAGGGTGCAGAGTGTCCAAAGTACCAGAAAATATCAGACTCTTTGTAGTCAAATGCATATTTAAATGTTGTTGCTGTGTACACCATATATCCTCCGGTTGTGTGGAGTACGCCCTTTAAATAGTTCAAATTAGAACAATAAAAGGAAAATGAGAAACTACATAAAATACTTAAACCAAGCAAAATGAATACCTTTGGCTTCCCGGTGCTCCCACTAGTATACAATAGGAAAAGGGGATCTTCAGCATCAACCCACTCAACTTCACAGGTAGTAGGATATTTTGGGACAACATCCTAGTGAAAATCAGCACTCCACAACTAAGAAAAAGGCCATAAAAAATTATGGTTACTGGAATCACCAAATTCTTCTCTATTTTACACTAACCTGCCACCACACATCTCTTCCTTCCTGCCACTTAGTGCTTTCTCTTTCCAATGCTGATTGATTTTCATAGGTTAAGCATACATCTGCTCAAAAGAAGACATAGTCGTAAATAGACAATCAAATAAATAAATAATTGATCAAATAGTCCCACTGGTGATGGTAATCATTGGAGCAACTTGAACTAGTAGTTCAATTGCAAAGCACAGTATGCTGGTAGTTAAATGCTAAGTACTTACTAACTTGATTAACATCAATCATGCTCTACATGTTGCCCTACATCAGTTATGTTAAACCATATTTGGCTAGCACACGGTACTATCCATTAAGAATGTTTGGAAAATTGGCAACCACTCTAAGCTATTAAAACATTCTGAATCGAATAGAAGGAACAGTAGCACAAGGGGAGATTGTAGCCCAAGATTTTCATTGATATGAAAAACAAATTTTAGGTTAAAGATAAGTGCTCCAATGCATTGTCTTAAGTAAAAACCTAAGATTCAACAGAGGAAATAGGTTTGATCCAGTCCAAACTCTAAATATGCATGAACTACTATGGAGAAAACCATCTTCAAATCAGATACTGGTTTCTTAACGTAAACCAACCTATGGAGACTCCATTCTTGGCCGATTCAATAAGGGCAGCATCAACAATGTCCTTGAGATGGATGGTCTTAGGGCCTCTTTTAACAGCATTACACGTAATAACAACTTTTGGTTTGCAGTCCACTATTCGTTGGGCAAGAGAATCTGAAGAAAATCCAGCGAATACAACCTAAAAGGGAAAACGAGTTGGGAATTTGTTCAATAATAAAAATAGAAATTAAAAAATTAATCTCTTATAGCTTAGTATGTAGGTTGTTTTGCATTGTTAATCCTATTTATGTGCAAGAAGGGGTGTGTACCGAGTGAACTGCACCTATGCGAGCACAGGCAAGCATGGTAATAGGGAGTTCCAATAACATAGGCAAATAAACAATAACGGCATCACCCTTTTTAACTCCAATACTTTTCAGGTAGTTAGCGAGCTGCGGAGAAGAAAGCAATAAATCAGATTTGATTCCAATTGAAGAAGTTGTAAAATGTGGAGAATTAATATAAAGTTGAAGAAACCTGGCAAACTCGGTGCAGTAGCTGGGAGTAAGTCAAATGGGCATCAAAGCCAGGTTCACTGGATTCCCAGTAAAGGGCGATTTTGTCTCCAAACCCAGCATCGATGTTTCTATCTAAGCAATTGTAGCATATATTGGTGATCCCGCCTTTGAACCACTGGTAAACCCCCAAAAATAAAGTGATCCAACCAGCGTTGATCCGAATGATAAACTAAATAAATCCAAAAAAAGAAAGAACAAGGAAGAGGATAGAGAGAAATACCTCGATCTTGATATTTCCTTTATTGACATCGAGATTCTCAGAGTAGACCTGATCTCCCCATTTTTGCTTCCAATAGAACTCCGATAAGGCAATATCTGACCAAAATCCAGCGGGATCCTCTATTGACCTTTTGTACATCTCCAGATACTGGTCTCATCTCGCCCCACAAAGACAACTTTTTCAGACTCATAGATCATTAAATTAATTACTCAGAACGAGCTAAATCTCGGGGAAATAATAAATGAAAACGCATTTATGTTTTCATGTACAGTTGCTACTGCTGTTATGCTAATAAATGTAGTAAAATCACGTCAATACTAATATTTTGTTTTGGTATAATCATTCATTTTTCATATTCAATAAGAGAGAAATGAGAAGGAACCTTGTGTGGAGAAGGAATGAGAGCCTGGCTAGAGAAGTCATGGCTTGGGAAAACCAAGTCGTTCTCCTCGGAAGCAAGCGCCTCGCCCAATATGACGGCGTTCAAATTGGAAATGTTGCCGGCGCCGGAAGGGAAGGAGGTCATGGACTCGACATGTCTCAAATGGTTGGTGGTGGTCAGCTTGTTGGGAGAGGAGGATGCCATGACCGATACTTGTCTAGTCCACCTGTTGCAGGATGATGATGATGGTGATGATGATCCAACTGTTGTTTGAGACGATCTCTTTTATAACCATGAAGATGCTGTGGGAAGAGTCTCCTGGGATGGGAGGAAATATTCATCGTCATCGTTTTTCTCTTTCTTAATTTCTTAATTTTTTAATTATATTTTTTGAATAAATTCTCACGCCAAACCGCCTCACCATTGTTGACTTCTTGGATTTGAAATTACAAATATAGATGAAGCTTATATATTCATTCCAAAAAAATAAAAAATAAGAAGTTATAGTTTTATCATGGGTAAGCTGTTAGAATAGTCCTATCTGTTTTTAGTATTATTGACTTTGGTCATAATTTAAAAATTAAGGGTATATGATCCGTTCGATTTTAGTCACTTTGTTGTTAACTTCCGCTCGATTTTAGTCCATCTACTATGTCGCATATTCGTTAAGGGTTAATGAAGGAGGGAATTTGTAGACATCCGTTTTTGTTCGGGTTTACAAAACATTTATTATTATTAATTTTTTTCCAGGTCCAAGTTCAACCCCACTATCTTCACCATTCCACGTTCAACTCCACTATCACCACCTCGTACGTTTGTTCAATAAAATGAAAGTGGGAATCTTTATAGAGGGGTCTACTTGTTTATTTAAAGGAACTTTGGATTGGAGAAGGGGGATGTAACCCCCCAGACCGATACGGGTAACTCGATCTGATCTGGAGTGTTACATTAGGGCCACCAGAGCGACCCACTGTAAAATCTCGAAAAATTTAAATTTTTTTATCAAAACATGTAAACTCATAAAATCATTTATCAGTATTCAGAAATAAAATAGATTTTCAGACTCGTATTTAAAACAAAATACAATTACATGCCCCCTGATCATATGTACCATACTCTGCAAACAACTCCAGAAGAGCTCCTTTACTGAAGTCGATAGCTGCACTGGTACAATTCTTTTAACCTGCAATGTTGAGTAATAGAGTGAGCTTCGAAAAGCTCGGTAATACAGAACTACCAAATGATGCTTAAGAACGTGCAGATACAGCTAAACATACATTTCCTTATTGGTTCATATATCTACAGATTTTTAGGCTGAGCTGAGGTCCCAGTGATATCGCAGGTAGTAACAGATAGTATTCAGTTCAGATGGAAATAATTCGGATATCTAGGTTCAGGAGATCAGAATAGGTATATCCTTTTAAAACATATTTTTTAAAAGTCAGAAATCATAGTAATTCCCTCAACCGCTACACATCATAATGTGTAGGTTCCCCAAAACCATACACCCAACCGCACATGCCAGTAAGGCCCTGAGCACAAAGCCGAGGAACCTGCAGATATACTTCCTCCAACAATAACCCCCAAATAAAACATTTTTCCGTTGATAAATGGAGATATCAGAAATCAAAACAAAATTCAGACCAGATATCAAAATAGAATCCAGATCAGAAATCAGAACATAATTCATAATAGAATTCAGATCAGAAATTAGAACAGAATTCAAATAAGAAATCAGAAAAAAATTCAAATCAGAAATCAGATAAAATACTCATGTGATTAGGGAACACACTAATGGTTTACAAATATTATTCAGAGGTACTGGTTAATCTTATAAGGCATATAAAAACAGATCTTCAGTATGTCGATAGAATGTTGGAATTTAGAATCACTATAGGAAGGGTTCAATAACTGACGGAATCATTAGTTATTTAGAATATGAATTATCATGATCATATCTTATTCGGGCATTTTTCAGAAGTTGTACGTAATCAGAAGGGTATTCAGAATCCTTTACAACTATGTCGATTGATTAGATAATCGAACAACTTGTGACGAATAGCTCTCAGACCAAATGTTTGTCGACTGGTCAATTCATTGTCCTTCCAGGGTATTTACTCATTAATACCACAAATTATTGTCCATAGATCATCTTTGGAATCATCGTTGAAAAGATCTTAAGGAAACTAATAGATATTCCAATGCTCTTTATCTCATTTCCACGCTTCCATGATATCATGAAATGCTAACGTGCTTAATTTGTAGTTCATTACCCATAACATTACATCATATATGATCATTAACGTTTCCAGACTCATCCAAATCACTTACTTAATCCTTAGTCCTTGAGGTTACTTAATTCATTTAGCAGTCAAGTCTATTCCAGTTACTTCGGGGTTTTCCAGAGTAATTCGTATGTTTCTGAATTTCGGATACATATTGTACTCCTGTTCTGTTCAATTTGGTCTTCATGGTTGATTTGTTTAACGAATATCCCCTTCTTAGTACAAAATACGCTATAGAGTTGAGCAGAGCTAAGTACTTCCAGAATTATCATCGATCCAAACTTGAGAAGACGAACAAGGATTCGAGTAATATCCATGCCGTTCAGCTAGTGACATATCATTAAGGTTGATCGGCTCACCTAAGTTGTGTTCCATAACTTTTAAGGGTAGTACAACACTCATATTTACTTGGATTTCTTAATTAATCCAAAACATCTACTTAGTCTAGGCCATAAGGGTATTTTGGTCATTTTGGTGTTTAATTTTATTCCATTAATTTCAGAGCTCGGGGATATCCAATCATTCCTGAGTTTGGTGATATTCTTGGTCATTTCCATTCTAGGGGTATTCTGGTCATTCTACAGATCCAGTGTATTTCAATCATTTCTTTCCGTCCGATCTTATTATTAATTTCAAACTTATCATTTATTTCAGTCAATTCGAACAATTCTGACAAAAGAACACCCCTGATAAATTGTTCTTCAGGTATTTACTCATAACTCAGATATTTTCGGGTCAAGTGCCTTCTCATATTTTACAGAATATCATGAATTTTTCTGCACTAAGTCAAGATCTTAACAATCAAATCCATACTTAATCGAGTTAAGTACGAATCCTCAAAGTACTTTCTCATTCAGGGTCAACTATGACTATTTTACCTCTCAAGGGCATTTTCGTAACTTCTTAACCAAATAATTTCGGTATTAACTCTTAACAAAAATAATATAATTTAGAGATCATATGATTAATTTCTTTCTTGAACATTCTCTGATCTTGAAATGATTCCCTTAATAGACTTCTAGTATCTTGCACAAACCCTCTTGGGGTTAAAAACTGATTATCCAAATTTTCTAAGTAAACTAACATTTCTTATACACATCTGTAGTTTTATCAGATCAATAAGTCTTTTCAGAGTTATTAATAAACTTTCAGGGACAATTCTTGTCATTTTACAACATAGGGGTATTTTCATAATTTTACCTAACTAAAATATTCTCATAATTTATCATCCAAGTACCTTTAATGAAATAAATTATAATCTACATATCCACTGATGATTCCTTTATCACTTAATTCCATAACTTGTAATTTAATTCCAACTGTCCTCCAATTCTTATAATAGTAATCTGAGCCATATTCAGTTACCTACTTTCTACCACATTTGTATCGAGTGTAGAACTTCATTAATTACACATATGAGACCAAACATTTTCATTCATGCATTTATCAATACCAACATGTTCTATAAAGCATAAAGAGGTAGTAATGTATTACCTCGATTTCAGTGCCATACTGATCAACCATTATATTCCATTCGAACGCTCTCGATCTTGAAATCAACTTCCAATAATTCCTCATATGCATATCAAAAGAAATTACATAAAAAATGGAGCTTAATTCCAAAAAACGGATCGAATCGGATAAATCAGTCAAAAACAACTTATCAGTTTGAATTTGACGAAACGATCTTCGGATTCGGATTCAGAATGTCGAAAAACATAAAATATGACTTTTCAAAAATTGACTTTTCGATCAAAGTCAACGGGTTTGACTGCAATTTCAAGGCTTTCGGGTCCGAATTTCAAAAAACGGACTGCAGAATCAAACTCAGGACGTCGAAAAACATCAAGATAGGTGTACTCGGGAAAAGTCAACGGTAGTCAACGCCCAGTCAACGCCGGTCAAAGTTCTGGTCAACGGTGGTTAACGTCGGTCAACGCTCAACAGTTTTTCACAAATATCACCCTAATAGAAATTAATTACAAATTAGGAACCATTCTAAAAAATATTAATAAAACTAGCACCCGAGTTTTTTTACACAAATATTACCAAGATCGGTTCACAATTTTGAACGACGGAGATGTCGATTCCGAACATCGAAAACTTTAACTTTCTCACCCCCTCCATGCGTCGACGACTACAGAGACATGGAGGACACCGGTGGACTCAGAACGATGCAAGGAACACGATGGTGTGGGAGTTGTCGAAAACGGATGGTCGGATCAACGTGAATCAATGAAAAACCAACGGAAATTGAGTTAAAACCGACGATACTTCCAACTGAAATTAACGACAAATGACGACGATTCACGATGATAGGTTTGAGGAGATTTGTTCATCGGTCGACAACGAACACGATGGTGGTTTCGATTCATCGAACGGAGGTCGGACGACGAGTAGATCGAAGTTGAAAGGAGGGTTGAATGGGGAGGGAAACTGGGGAAAATCAGCAGAAAACACACAGGGAGGGGTTATAATTCATCCTATTAAAAAAATGGGTAAACCATGAGTTTAGTCACTGAACTTCCTGCACTTCTTAAAATAGTATGCCAATTTTATGATTTTATAATTTAATCCTCAATTTCTTCCAAAATATCAATTAAATCCAATACTTTATACTTTCTAAATTTTAACCCTAAATTAGGGTGTGACAATTCTCCCCTCATTAAAAAGAATTTCGTCATCGAAATTCATTCATGTCACATAATTGCATAAATGAAACTTCCATCTGTTATTTCATACCTTAAAGTAGTTCTACATAAATGTGGGTTCTTTATTAATCCTTAACCAGCTGAGCATACTTTCTTATCATAACTTTTCCTCAATTCAATAAAATAATCTAAACGAAAATTTCCGTGAAGAATCAATTCAGCCTTGGTTACGAAAATAGGCTCATTGAGCTGTAACATATCCAAATTTCATTTATGGAGTTGGATCGAAATTTCTCAGATACAGATAAGGATTCCTTTATAAAACGATAGAGTCCTAATGGA